AAAATATATAAAAGAGATGAATTTCACTCTTTATTTGAAATCGAACATCCTCCCCCCGTTGGGAGTTCAGAAAAAACGAACAACATTATATTATTCATTATAATAACAATTATGAATTAAATCGAACAATGCAAACAACAAAACAATTTTTTTTTTTAAATACATTGTTATGTTCATTCAATTGGCAGAAGGCACAGTGATCTAACATTTCTTTTAAATACGCCTTGCGAAGTTTTTAAAGTGACCACTCTCACGACGCCATCATCCCCCGGATGCAATTCAATTACTCGCCCCAACCGCCACTGAAGGCATGGTTGATTTTTATCAATTAATATTACAATCTGATCAAGTTTAATGTTTTCTTGTGGATGTATCCATTTTTTACGCTTTTGCAAACCAGTCAAGTATTCGAGTTGCCATCTACGCCAAAACCACTGTTTAGCCTTTGTGATTCTTTGCCAAGCATTTAGTCGATTGTCAGGAACATCAGTTACATCAATTTCAGGTAACATCGTAAGGGGTTTACCGATTAAAAAATGTGCAGGCGACAAAGCAACCAGATCGTTAGGATCGGTTGATATTGGCCATAAAGGTCGTGAATTCAAAATTGCTCCGATCTCTAAAGTTAAAGTGCTCAATTCCTCGTACGTGAATAATTGGTTGCCCATAACACGTTTGAGGTGATGTTTGCATGACTTAACAGCAGCCTCCCATAAGCCTCCGAAGTGAGGTGAAATAGGCGGGTTAAAATGCCATTTTATTCTTTTAAATGTCGCATAATTTGCAATCTTTCTTTTGAATTCATCAGTATCCATTAATGCGTATAATTCATGCAACTGTCTATTCGCACCGACAAAATTTGTACCATTATCAGAGTATATGTGAGACGGAGCACTATAATGGGAAATAAATCGTCTTAATGCACTTAAAAACGCTTCTGAGGACAAATCACTCACTATATCAATGTATACAGCACGCGAAGACATACATACAAAAATGCACCCGTAAACTTTAATCGTGTTGCGATTTCGAAACTTTTTCTCTTTTATAAATATCGGCCCGAAATAGTCAATTCCAGTATGATTAAATGCAAAATCATTGTTCACTCGTGACTCGGGTAAATCAGCCATTTGATAATCGCCTGTTGAATGTTGAAAGCGTCTACACCGTATACATTTTTGCACAATAAACCGAATTTGATTTTTTCCATCGATTAACCAATATCTTTGTCGCAAATTAAAAAGCGTGGATTGTATACCAGTGTGAAAATGTTTTTCGTGTGAGTCTCGGATTAATAAGTCAGTCACTTTGTTACGACTAGGTAATAATATAGGATGTTTTTGATCGAAACTAATCTTGTTAGCTCGTCTTATTCTCCCCCCGACACGAATTAAACCATTATCATCGAGAAAAGGATTCAATGCTCCTATTNAAATCATCGACGTAAAAGTCGTTAAACAAAGCAGCCGCTCCTACTGGAAATCGACTCATTTCGTCGTGTGCAAGTTTATGCAAAGTGCGGATTGCCAAAAAAGGAGCAGACGACACTCCGAAAGTTACTGTATTTAATTCGTATACTTTAATTTCATTCCCTTGTTTCCAAAAAATTCGTTGAAATTTTCGATCATCTTTATGCACCCAAATTTGTCGATACATCTTGGCAATGTCAGCTGTAATCGCGTATTTATAAGTGCGAAAACGAATTAAATGTTCAAAAAGCTTTGATTGTATCGTTGGACCAGTCAAAAGAGCGTCATTCAAAGATATCCCTTGACTCGTTTTAGCCGAAGCGTCAAATACGACCCTGATTTTCGTTGTCAAACTAGTCTTTTTTATAACAGCGTGATGAGGTAAATAATACCCTGTTGACGATTCGTCTTCGACAAGTGACATGTGTCCCATTTGTATATATTCGTCCATAACCTCTGAATAACCGCGATTAAGTACGGGGTCAGAATTTAACTTTTTCTGTAAAATCATAAAACGCCGGTATGCTCTTTCTCTAGATTCTCCTAAATCAGCATCGTAACATTTACGAAAAGGTAACTTGACTATATATCGACCTGACTCCTCCCGCGAAACGTTATTTGTATAATGTGTCTCGCAATCATGATTATTACACGTATCATTTTCAGATAAATTATTGTCTAAAGCCCAAAATTGTTCGACTAATTTTTCTAAACTTGACACATTACAGTAAGCCTCTTCCTTAGGATCGTGCGTACCCCCAGCGGCAACCCACCCGAGCCGAGTTTTTTGCAAAATTAAACTGCAATCTTTCTCGTTCAAGCTAATTTGACCTACAGACATCATTGCTAAAGTAGTGCTTGATCCGATTAAAAGATCAATACCTTGAGGCAAATGAAACCGGGGATCCGCCAATTTAATATTTTTTGGTATATTTATCTTTTGACGGGGAAAAATTTCACTTGGAACGCGACCGGTAATCTCTGGCATCACTAAAAATATTAAGTTCTTATTATACTCGTTATGAAGTGAATAAAATGTACATTCGACAATGCCCAATGACGATGTTTTTAATTTATTCATTCCCGTGACTGGAAGAGCACAAACTTGCGCCTTCAACGAAAGCTTATCAATCATTCTCTTTGTTATAAAATTAGCCGTAGCGCATGTATCCAGGAGAGCTCGACACGTTATAAATTCTCCACTGATATTTTTTAATTTTACTAACGCAGTTAACATTAATTCAGATTGAAAAGCTCGAGGAATAAGTTCGCGCTCTTCCTGTTCCTGATCTAGTCATAACGTTTCTTGACCTTGAAAGCTTTCATTATCCGAATGTAACAAAGCATTATGAAAATCGGAGCACTTTTTGCATCTAAAATATTTACATTCACCTTCGTGTTTAACTAAACAATTACGGCATACTCCTGCTTTTTTCACGATTTCCCATCTTTGTTGTAAATTGGCATGTCTAAAAACGGAGCATCGGTAAAGAGGATGTTTATCCCTGTTGCAAGCTAAACAATCTTTCGTCACGTTAGTCGCTAGTACCTGAGCGTGATTCTCAACTCGAGGTTTTTTATTGTTATTATTGAACGATTTTTCTTGAAGTGACCGCTTATAACCTTTATCTGTTTTCGGTTGTTCTTCTACGCTTTGCTCTATAGTGAAGAGTCGAAATGCAGTTTCGGAAATAAATGTATAAAGCTGTTTGAGGTTCGGTATTTTGTCTAACGCGAGTGTTTCCTCCCATTTTGAGCGAATATTTGCCGGCAACGCGCGCTCCAGAATACGAATCAATAAATGCTCATCAGGGACAATTTCTAATGTTGCCAACATATTAATGTGTTGTCGCATTTCATCAATTAAACTGCTTAGATCCTTATGAGTAGCTTCGTGAACGTATTTTATATTCAAAATTGCATCCAAATGTTTAACCATTAATATCCTCTTTTGATCATAAGCCTCTAGTAATAATTGCCACGCTGATTTAAAATTCTCCTCACTCACGTTATAAATAGATATTTTCCTCAACGCATCACCGCTCAAACAATTTTGCAAATACATAAATTTTTGCAGGTCAGAAATATCACTTGAACCTACCATAGTCGTAAAAGCGTTTTTGAACGACAACCACTTCGCTATGTCACCATCGAATTTCGGTAAATCCGCGACAGGAAGTTTCAAACGATGTGTATTGTTACCTACGACTATCGACGATGTATTCAACGCATTAGAAATTCCCGACGTCTCAGAGTTTAAGCTCACGCTTTTACCTAGGAGGTTATAGTACCGCTCTTGTACATTTTTGAAATCTGCAATATTGTCATCACCCGCATCATCGATTAATGCAAGCTCATCATGTAACTCTTCATAACCTTCAAACAAAACTTTGACGCGATCTATGCGCGCCTTTAACGATGCTAATTTAGCTGGCTCCGTAGGTATATTTTCGACGATTTGCTCGAGCTGAGTGATTTGTCCCTTTAAAGAAGCTCGCTTTTGATTTATATATTTTACACGCCCGGTCATGATGTGAAATTTTACAAGCAGCTAATAAAGGCTAACAATTTTTACAGCTAATAATTTTTAGTTGTGTATCGTAGCAATAATGAATTACGATCAGAGATGATTCTATGGCAACGCAATTAAACAACCGCAACTATGTTCCAGACAATCC